GGTGCGCCGCTTGATGCGTAGCCTTGTTGGCCGCTGGAGGCGTAACCATGTTGGCCGCTAGAGGCGTAACCTTGGCGAACGGTGTTGAGGAAGGATGTTCCGGTTTCTCCACCGCGCCCACCGCCTTTGCCATGGCGTTTGCCACCGCGGTGGCCGCTTGGTCCGCCTTGAGTGCGTCGACCACCCCCACTTTGGGGTAATTCGCCAGGTGGGATGGCAGTCCAACTTGGCGGAAACACGAAGTCTTGACGCACCGCGTTCTGGTGGAACGCACGGGAGAGCTTCGTGCAGGTGTACGTCGAGTGGCTGCCTGAGGACAGGCAGTAGCCACACCAATCCGTCATGGGGTCTTGGCCTTGGGTGCCCCAGGGTAAGATGGCCGCTTGTCCGTAGCCTTTTCGCTGGCTGGCGCCATCGCGAAAGGCCGGAAGTACCAATGCGCTAGACCGCGTTGTCACGGTCGCGGTTGCCGAACCATGCACTGGAGCAGCCACGGCGATCGGCTCTGGGCCGAGGTAGTGCGGGTACTTGGTGACCAAGCCCAGCCAGTGTTGCTCAAGCAACAGGCGCATGTTCTTGTACGGGATGCTCAGCTGAGCACCGCGCCATACGAATAGGTCTGGGGCGATGCACTCAGGTAGTGCCGCCAGGAGGGCCGAGGCTAAGTGGCTATCGCTGAGGGGTCGCCCTTCCAGCTTCTCCACTGCCGTTCGCATCTTGTCGAAGGCTTGGAGGTTGACGTCCAACGACACGTGAGGCTTGAACTTGAACGTGTGTAACCGTTGGTAAACGGAGATGGCCGTTGCATGTTTTTGTTCGTCGCTGGAAAATTTCCGCCGAAGCGACGAAATGATGCAATGCGCTCATTCGTAGCGAATCCTGGCAGCGGCATCGCACTGGGCCATGGCAGCGGCATCACGCTGGACCGTGGGGGACAAGGAGGCGTAGACCAACGCGCATGAGCCCACAATGGCCATCTTCTCCAACTTGATCAACTCATCCACGTGGTTGCGGATGGACTTCGCGATTGCTTCGTCCGTCGAGCTGTTGTCCGCGAGCCACTCGGTGAGCTCCGGACCCAGTGGGTGGGCGTCGAGCGTGAGTGGTGGGAGGGGGGTGAGCCGGCAGGCAGTGCTGCCGCTTTGGCTTGGTGCTGCCGGATGCGCTTGCAGTCATTGAGTAGCACCTTGTAGGCTCGACGGAGTCCCTTCATGGACGTGGCCGTCTCGACTTGCGCGCAGTGAGTCGTCATCTCGGTGAGATCCTCACCGGCAAGGATGACGGAAGTAAGTTCAAAGAACCACTCGTCGAAGTTCTCGGCGCCGAGGAGGCGCTGCGTGAACGGTAGGGCTGCGCGAGAGATAGTGGGTGGAAGGCTCATAACCAGTTGGAAGGGCAGTGGGCAGGAACAGGCATTTGGCAGGCAGAAGGAATAACCGAAAGTGAATTACTTCGGACTGGAAAGAACCAGCCAATCAAAACTAACTATGATTGATCACGACATCCAATGATGTTTCGTTACCAAATGTCGGCGCTGACTTCTACTCTGAGGAAAAGCCTCTAGAAGGCACAAAAACCTCCTACACAGCTAGCAGACGCTGCTACCTGACTGACAGGGCAGTGGGGATGTTCTCTATCAGAACAGGGTGTTCTGACTAATGGACCTTCATTCGACACTTGGCTATATACCAACATTTTGGTTGAAGCTCGACTAAAACGCGTTTGCGTTTTATTCGACGCCACAACTGGCTGGCGCTTCGACACTCGTTAAATGCAACGTCTATAAGTAAAAAAGGTTTAATTTTCTATAGTCGTGCTGGGTTTCTGTGCACTAACGTTACCAACTCCGTAGCGTTCGGGCCAGGTTCCATTGGACAGCAGATAAGTTCATGGCAAGGTGATATCCGGATAAATACACGGTCGTGATTGGCTGAATCCAAGCAACCTGTACCATCCGGATAATAGTCCAAGCCCACGATTAGCCAAAATGGCGATCTCTGCCCCGTTTTGATTGGCTAAAATCAATGCTGCAAAATGACTGGTCCCCCGTTCATTGGCGGGGATTGGGTGGCGACTGCCGAAAATCCTCCCTCGACACATTCTCGTATTTCTCTGTTTGAATCATGGCTGACGAAGACTACTCCTTTGACTCGTCCGATGCTGGTGCTTCGGAAACGTACCCCATGGAAGCCGGCCAGGTGAAGAAGGGCGGGTTCATCATGATCAAGGGCCACCCGTGCAAGGTCGTGAGCATTGCCACCTCCAAGACCGGCAAGCACGGCCACGCCAAGTGTAACTTTACCGCGTTGGACATCTTCACCAACAAGAAGTACGAAGACATTGTGCCTTCGTCCCACAACTGCTCCGTCCCGTTCGTCACCCGCGCCGAATACACGTTGTTGGACATCACGGACGAAGACTTTGTGTCGTTGATGGACGACAACGGAGACACGCGCGAAGACATCAAGTTGCCGTTGATCCCGGAAGGATTCGGTGAGGAAATCCGCGCCGACTTCGACGCTGGCAAGCAATTGGCCCTCTCCGTGTTGATGGCGTGTGGCATTGAACAAATCGTCGCCAAGAAGGAAGACCTCACCGAAAAGTAGATATTTTGTGGTTAACAGACTAGAGGGAATTTATTATCTCTATATGACAACACAGATGCTTCGACAGAGAAAACAACCTAGGTTTCGTTCGTGTTGATGTCTCTACAACGAACCGGCGGACAGGGCTACAGCTACGACGGTGAGCACGACGTCCCAGACGAGACAGGCCATGTGGTACATCATCTACATGCAGATGTGTGACGACTGATGGAACTCGAATGGAGGGAAACGTGGGGGTGTGCAGGTACTTACTTTCGGGGCAAACACGCTCCAGATGAACAAGTGGAATCGCATCGCATAGACAATCACACTGGATGATCCATGTCAACGTGGTTGCCCGCTGGGAGATGGGGTGCATGTACCTGTAGACGAGGAAGCTCAACAGTTCAAGGCTCCATAACGTTGGGAGCGCTTTGCCGGCTGGGATGATGGTGAAGGCGGCAAGAATCACCACCGTGGGGCCAGTCATGACGATAAAGAACGTGAAAAAGCCGACGATGCCTTGGGAGTACGTCGTCAACCCCGTGTATGCCTTGCCGATCTCGATCGTAGTCATGAGATGCGAGTTGCCAAGGGCGTAAAAGGCGCATTTGGACATCCATAGAGTCGCCACGGCCGCGACGGTGGACGTGTCATCTTCACGCCGGCGGCGAATCCACGAAAAGAAGCATGCTTGTTGCAGATTCAACACGGCCAAAACGGTCAAGTTAACCTCGCTACAAGAACATTTAACAGTTACAAGAACAACGTAACGGTTTTTCGCGCGCACTTTTCGTCATTTCGAAATTTACCGTTGAAGGAGCAGACCAAGCAACCACGCAGACAACTCCAACGGCACGAAGCGGGAACACGACTTTCCTCCATCCTTCGATAGACACCACCCCGACACGAACAAGACGGTGGCACATGCGTACGTGGCATGCGCGTACATCCCCACGGCGGGGTGGAAGCTGTAGGCCGACACGGCAACGAGACCAGTCAGAAAGACCAACTCGATCAACCGACGACGGATCACTGCTGTAGCTGCAACAGCATGTTCGAGCTTCCAGATCCCGTAGATGCCGATGCATACCACGACCCACGTCGTTTCATATCCCAGTGGCAGGTTCAGGTCGTCCAGCAGCGAGCGAGTGGTGAGCACAGACAGTGAATCGTCCTGTTCGTACTCCAACCCGACAGTAGTGTTTTTGGCATCAGCAAGCGATGGGAGGTCGTTCAAGCGACCAAAGTTGATAACTTGGTTCCGACTGCGCAGGATCCGTGTCGTGACGGCCAGCATCCCTACGAGCGGCACCTGCCTGAACTCTAAAAACCATTGCAATGCAGTCAACTATGTGAATCTATGTGAATACGACAGAGGGAATACTACCTTTGGCTGCGACATGTTGAAATCCAAGGTACATCCACAGCGTCGTCAAGATAAAGTTCCACGTTGCATGTTCGTTTTCGATGGCGGAACTCGAGCCATAGCTGGCAACCTGCAACACGGCGCCAACCCCCAGCACCACGTGTACGTACGAGACCTTGTTCGATCGCCTCGACCATGCTGATGCAACCCCCGAAGCCCCAAACGACACCGCCATTCCAGCTGCCGTACATGCCACCCCCAAGGTAATCGCGAATGTATTGTACTCGCTTCCATCACTTTGAAGCACGACCTCTTGCGCCCATGTCAATGCAGCTTGTACTTCTTTCTCGTGTGCCGTGGCTCCCACCTTGGCACGCTCGGCTGGAGTCCACGATGCTATCAGTTGACGCAAGTTGCGTTGCATGGCCTCGAGGGGCGAGGCCAATCCAGCAGCATGCAGGACATGGTGCAGCATTTTGCCAGTGTTTGTGGTGGGAATGGCCACTCCAAAGAGTGCGGCGAGGGTGGGCACGAGGTCCACTTGCAACGCCCGGCGAAATGACTCCTTTCGGCTGGACTTGGTGAAAGTACGTGCTTCGTCGTGGTCCGTTGCGTTCGTCGGCGGCATGACAAAGAGGAGAAGGGCCGACGATTCTTCGATGGACGCGCCTCCGTGGTTGCCCGTGTTGGTCATGCCTACGAGGCCCCGACACTTTGAGTTTCAGGTCATATCATCTCGACTGTGTTGCCAGGTATCGATTTTTGAAGCATCTGTCGTTACCGTGATCACTGCAAAGCACAAAAAGCGTGGGAAGGACACCATCAGGCTGCTGCTGGTTGTTGGACGTTTGTCGAACGATATCTTGCGCTCGAATGGCATTGTGAATAGACCGCACCACGGCGTCCATTTCACCGAGCTTGTGGCGCATGGACGACGAATGCGGGCCATCCATGTGTCCTACGTGGTCCACGCCAAGGTAATGGAGGACCAGGACGTCCCAGTCGCGGCTGTTCGAGTGCGCCATCGTCGGGTCTAGTTCTTCATGCAGATGTCGCGTCACGTTGGAGTCGACAAAGATGGTATCGGTGGTGAAGAACCCGGATGTGGCTATCATATGCCATGTAAACGAACCCCCCACACATGATGGACGAGGGATGATGGTACCGTCATGGCGATGAAAGAGATGGGGAAAGAGGTCGAGCCATGTCTCGTCGCCGTATAGCACCATGCGATACCCCGCTAATTGCATTTGCGTATGTATGCAATATTGAATCAAATGGGGGGCGAATGCGTACCTTGATGCAATGTCCGCATGATGTTGTCGTCGTCGAGCGCTTTCGAGTTGAAATTGCGCAACACGTCGATAAACGCGGGCTGTTTTCCTGTCGTGAGTGCCTTGAGGCGCGGCATGGTCACCGTGGGCACCCCCGCTTGCGCCACGTACGCGACCGTGAGGTCGGACGTCGCCAGGTGGGCCGTGTACGGCATGAACAACGACAAGTCTTCGCCGTGATGGTTGATGGCGGCATTTCCGAGCACCATGTCGGCACGCAGCGCATCGATCACGACAAACACAAGGCGGTCAAATGCTCCTTTGGGAAGCGACGGACCCCGGTCGTCGTTGCTGTCAGAGGAGGAGGAGGATGGCGCCGCCGTTGTGAGGTTGATCTCAAGCATGTCCATGTCCAGTCCAAAGAACCCGCTCATGATGCACAGCGCACCGAGAAGGGCGCATGCGCAGACGAACCCGAGCCGCCAGGCGGTCATTGTGGTTATATTGTGATGTCGAGTTACAAGCGCCGCTACCATTTTTATCGAAAAAAGGTCGAAATATTGCACGAATTTCAGGTATTGGACTCGACAAAAACGTTGAAAATGGTGAAATATTAGACGGATTTTGAGTTGTTTTCGTTTTGTTTTCGGATATTAGTCCGAGTCGTCGTCGCTGGAATCGTCCGAGGCAAAGTCTGCCTCAAGGGGACTCACGTACTTCTTCAACGCGTTGGATGCCTCCAGTTGGTACCGATCGACCAAGTGCGGCAGCGCAATGTCGCAGAAGTACTCTTCCTTCAACAGAATGTCGGCCACTTCGTCCACATGCAGCATCTCCCATCCTACCACATCATCACCGTCCTGCGTCAACATGGGAGATGAACGAGAGACGGACCTAATGTGTTGCGTTTCCGAATCTTGCGGTAGTCGGCCAAGAGCTCTTCCAAGATCGGATACACGTCCGTGGGTTTACCGACCAGCCGCAGGTAGAACGCGCCGAGCATGGTCACGTACTTGTAATCTCCGTTTTTGATGAACTCGACGACAATCTATGTACATGCAACCTCGTCATCCCATGAATGGTCCCTCCCATTTGCATCGTACCAATGAAATACATGAACGCACGTACGTACCTCCATGTCGGGTTGGATCTGGAGCATCTTCAACAACAGACACAGGAATGGCGTCGGTTGCTGGTTTCCTCCAAAGTGGCCGCCAATATGCGTGAGTTCGATCGCCTTGTCCACCAGCGTCTCCGCCGTGAGACCAAAGCATTGCTCTACACAACTACGTCAGCCCCATAGCTCATACACACACATATATGGGAACTACGCTATGTACCTTTCCAGTACATGCTGTCATAGATACGATTCCGTAGGATCTTCTCCTACATGGATCATCATCATATGAGAACCTCGTCACATACACACTTAAGCCATGGCACGAACCACAAGATGCTGCGGGTTCACTCCGTGGACGCTGAATGCCGACAGGTCTGTCGCGTTCATGGCAACCACCGACAACGTCAAGATACTGTCAAACTCGATACAGTATAATGTTCTACAATTCTATCCGGATACGTGTCAGCCTCTTTCCTTCAACTTCAATCGCATGACGTGGCATCACCAAACAAATGATCACGGTTTACGGTCTGTTATTATTCATAATAGGTACATACATCCGCGGTTGTAATAAAGCTAACACTTTCCATGGGAGCGTTGTGTTCGGTACAGTATTCAAAGCCGGCTGATATATATTATATATATGATCGAATCGTATTATCCACACATTTATAAACTACTACCCTTCTTGCGGTTGTTTCGGGCTGGGGCTGGTTACATGATTTGGCGGTATGGGACTGTGGCGTCAGAGGTACTGCGTCGCACGGTCATGGCGAGCTGGGCCACGGCCACCACGACGATGCCGGCCACGAAACCGGTCGAGCTGAGCAAGATCCAGTTGGCAGGCGAACTTTCGACGTTGAGGAGGCTGCGGTAGTACGACGTCGCCTGGTTATTGTACACGGGAATGTACCGCTTATGGGCCTTGTACTTGGCGTCTTGGTCCACGGCGGGGCGCTCGGCGCAGTCGATGTATCGGGAGAGCAGGCACGACGGGTTGTAGCACGTGTTGGGGGACGGCTCCAGCGGGATAATGCGGCCCCAGTTGATGCTCACCGTGTCGAACGCGGACGCGCAGTAGTCGTTCTGGTTCAAGTAGGCCGATTCGTATGGGTCTTGGGGGTACGGCACGTCCTGGGGCAGCGTCGGGTTGATGTGCAGGTCCGCGAGGGTCTTGTACGTGTTGGGGTCAAAGTGGAAAAAGTCGAGCGATGCGTAAAACGCCGCCTTCTGGTCGTCCGACAGGTTGGCTTCCACGCCCTGGAAGATCAAGAACGTCCGGATTGTCTTATCGATCAAACCCAAGAAGTGGGGCAACACAAACGTCGGCTCTGTGGCCGTGAGGTCGCCCTTCTGGCTCTCCGAGTACACGAGCGTAGTGTACTCAATGTCTTCGTGGTCGGGGCACACGGCAGGGATGTCCTTGGCGTAGTGGCCCTGGGTCACGGGCTTGTACGTTTTATCCTGCTTGTCCTTCTTCGCCTGCTGGACGCTGGCAAACGATCGGCAGCACCGCGTGTGCTGGCGGAACCGCGCCAAGTGGCGAGGGCAGTAGGACGGGTCGTCCCAGCTCACCTTGTACCCAGGGACGCACGCATGTTCCTCCGTGTTAACCGCGAGCCACCACACTTGGGCGCCGATCAACGCATTGTTGGCGTTGGCCTTGTCTTGCGCCGTCGCGGTCACGTCGTCCAGCACGGCGATCGCAGAGTTGGCAATCGCGTTCAGGAACCCAAACGCGAGCGGGCGGAACGGCGTGTCGCACGGTCCTTGGTCAGGGTTTGCCGTCAACTGCTCGAAGCGGAGGTCCTGCACTTCACCGGATTCGACAAACTCGACCGAGTACTTGTCGATGGAGAAGCAGTAGTCGCCCGTGTCCACCCCGGCAAAGTACGCAATCAAACTGAGCGTGTAAAAGTGTTTGCACGTGTCGCGAATGCCCTCGGCGGGCGTGATCGGGTCATATGGCGTGCCTTCAGGAAATTGCCCCGGGCCGCCGGCGCCATACGCTTGGGGCTTCCAGGATGACGTCGAGACGTCCCACACTTGGGCGGGGAAATGGAATGCCAGGTCACCGATGGGGGTGCCGGGAAAATCCACAAGGTGTTCCGGCTGCAACCCACCGGTGGCGTGCGTGGGAAGGTGGATGGTTTCCGCAGCCAAGAGGACTGCCGCCGCCACCACGGGAGGGGGAACACCCGAGTCTGGGATCGTCGCGACGGGGTTCAAGTGGTAGTTGAGCGCCGAGTAATAGTTGGGGTACACGACCAACGACGCCGTGTTGGGCGCGTTCTTGCTCGGACTGAGCGAGATCTTGGTGAAGCGCGTCGATGACGACCCGGGGGCGCTAGACAGGAGGTCCGCAAGCAGTTCGACCTCGGACTTGACGACCGCGGGGGGCGGGGGAGCCACTTGCCCGTCGGACAAGAACACCGGGGACGCTTTGTGGCCGTCGTGGAGCTCCTTGTCGGTCCACACCGTGGACTTGGACAACAGGTCCTTCAACGCGAACGACGACTGGTAGTTGTTTTCTTGGGGGTTGTCGTCCTCGTAGTCGCCGTTACTGCATGTCTTGAGGATCGAGTTCAGGCACGTGCCGGCGGCGTTGCCAAACACTTGCTGGGCGTTGCTCTGGTCGGCAAAGTATACGAGCGACCCAGTCACGCAGCTGCCGTACGTCACTAGCGCCTGCGATGCGATCGCGCTCTTGACCAGGGTAAACGAATCCGGGTTGTCGGCCAAAAATAGGTTCACGGGGGTCAAAGCCCCGCCAATGGTCACGCGCTGGATGTCTGCGATGGTGTACAAAGCCGCCAGCGCCGCGTCGTCCGTGCACGACTGGGCGCCCACGCTCACCTTGCCGTTGTGGTACCCTTGGTCGTTGACGGTGTGGCACAACGTGGTCGTGAAGGACTTGATGCAGTGCGCCGCCCGCGCGGTCGTGGCGAAGTCCTGGACGACGTTCACGTCCAAGAGGCACTCGGTGAACGCCAGCTGGGCGTCACAGAACAGCTGCGTGTTCCAGAACTTGAGGAACTCGACGTGGGCAGGCGCCACCGTGGTGGTTGGGGCGGGGGTCACCTGCTTGGTCGTAGTGGGCTTGCTGTACGCGCGTTTGGTAGTTGTCGGGGCGTCCGTGTCGTCATCGTATCCGTACCCATCATCATCTGGGGCTAGAGTAGTGGTAGGTCGGGAATATCGGCGACGAGTAGTGGTTGGGGCTTCGGTTTCTTCATCATCATAGCCATAACCATCGTCATCTGGGGCTACAGTGGTGGTCGGTCGGGAATATCGGCGACGAGTAGTGGTTGGGGCTTCGGTTTCTTCATCATCATAGCCATAACCATCGTCATCTGGGGCTACAGTGGTGGTCGGTCGGGAATATCGGCGACGAGTAGTGGTTGGGGCTTCGGTTTCTTC